TAGTAAATATACCAATGAATAACAAAAAAGTAGGAAATAATATTGAAGGGCCTATATAAGTCTGCTTCATGTAAACCAAATCGATTTAAAATTTCAAACAGATGATAAATTAGTTTAAATTAGTTTAAATTCCTAAACATTGAAAAAGTTAAAAAGGAATCACTCGCACGAAGTTCTTGAAATGAAAACTATGATAAAAAGAGTCGTCTGCTTTTCGATTCGCATTTTTTTTATTAACATGAAAATAAGGTATACTGTGTGCTGTATATCCAGTACTACTCCTTCTTGAGAAGGAATGGGTTGCTTAAACGGTATTTACAGAATTATACAAAGCTAAGACTCAGAAATACCTAGCATATATCCCAAAAACTGAATCAAATATAAATTTTAGGATTAAAGCGTCATCTGAATAACTTATTAAGATTTAAGAATGTTAGTATACCACGGGGGTGGAACCCCATATGGATCTCAAAATTGAGCTACGGTAAAACTATATGAATTTCCGCTGCTCCAGATGTGAGCTTTTACTCGATATGTGATAGAGAAAGTAGTCAATCACAGGGTAAGTTTTTAAACAATTATATAAATTTCATTTTTTTTAAAGAAAATCGAAGTGGTTCTACCCTCCCGGCTTACCCATTTTGGTTCGGATTTTATGCAGACTTTATCGAGATATTCTTTATCCATGTGGGTTTCCACCCCCGTGTATATAATTTCTGCAGAAAAATAATGAAAATAATAGCTATAATTAGTCTCGGTCAAAAGTGAAAGACAAAAGACAGATCCATAAAAATAAAAGTATACAATATTTAATGGTGCTATTGGAATTCACATCTCAAGTGTACTCAACAATATTCAGCATGACCTGAATCCATATCCGCAAAACTGTTAATCTGAAAGAAAATGCGTCAAATATAGAATGGGCTATAATTCGCTCATTAAAAACGAAATTACTTTATATTCGGATAATTATGCCTTATTCAAAGTATCTTAAGAGTAATATATAGGAAATTTAAAGTGCTAAATTTCATAAAGCATTATTTTCTTATTAAAAAAAATGAATAATTAAAGATGTAATCCCTTAAATAAATACATGTACCGTTTTATATCGTGTGAAACAATGTCTAAACATTTAAGATATTTGTGAAACAAATTATTGTAAGGTAAGATCGATCATGCAATGTTTTGCAATATAATAAAAGTTCTTTTGATATTTGAAAATTATTTCAGTTATTGCTTTATACAATCAAGCAGAGTGGCGCAGTGGAAGCGTGCTGGGCCCATAACCCAGAGGTCCGAGGATCGAAACCTCGCTCTGCTAATCCTTTTGATACAAATAAAATGTATCAAATTATATTATTTTGAATATATGGTGAAAAAAAAATTCTTATTTTAAGTCTATAGTAAATATACTAATAAATAACAATAATAAAGTAAAGTGCCATTAGGAGTCTGCTAGTCATACTTGTTTACATGTATTGTGTAAACCAATTCGATATAAATTTCAAACAGAAAAAAAATCCTAAAAATTGAAAAGTAGATAGGATTAAAGTTTCTTTATGAGTCTGCTAGAAATACTCATTTACATTTAATTTGTAAACCAAATCCATATACAATTTCAAACAGATGGTAAACTAGTTTTAATTCCTAAACAATGCAATACCACCACATGCTCAAAGTTGTAGACATAAAAACTATAATTAAAATAAGTCGACTGCTTTTGAATTCTCATTTTTTATGAACATAAAAATAAGGTTTACTTTGTGCTGAGTATTAATCCCTACTCTGCCTTTGGAGGGAATGGGTTGCTTTTAAAAACGTTATTAACAGAATTAGACAAAGCTGAACATCAGACCTACCTAGCATATATCAAAGATTAATTTAAAACTAATGACTTATTCTTATTTAAGAATGGTAGTCAAATAATGTCCCGCTGAAAAATAAGGAAAATAATATATATAAACAATCTCGGTCAAAACTGAAAGACGGAGCCATAAAAAATAAAAATATACAATATTTAAGAGGTGCGATTGGAATTCATATTTCAAGTGTATTCAACAATATTAACAAGACTGGAATCCATATTTTCACGAAAAGACTCTTAAACTGAAAAGATATATGCGTCTATAATAGAATATGCTCATTAAAAACGAAATTATTTTTAAAAAGACTTTAAAATGAAAAAAAAAGTGTTAAATTTCATAAAGCATACTTTTCTTTATAAATTGAAAAAATGAAGATTTTATTCCTTAGATATGAAGTAGTTATAGGTAAATGTTTGCTTTTATTCCTTGAGCAACCATGGTTATAAAACAGTTAAAATATTTGTTAACAAAATATTGGAATTTTGTATTTGTAAAGTAAAATGATGCAACGTTTTGTAATATAAAAGAAAAGTCATTTTTGATGATAACATTTGTAATAATGTAATTTGCAATACTTTATACAAGCAGAGTGGCGCAGTGGAAGCGTGCTGGGCCCATAACCCAGAGGTCCGAGGATCGAAACCTCGCTCTGCTAATCCTTTTGATACCAATTAAATGTATCAAATTATATTAGTTTGAATATAAGGTTAAAAGCAAATTGATATTTTATGCCTATAGTAAATAAACTTATAAATAACAAAAATTAGGGAGCTAAATTTCATAAAGCTATTTTTCCTTATGTCTTTAATATATGAAGTATTTATTTATATGTGTGAAGTTGACTGCCCAGCGGCCTAGCGGCGTGAAGTTGGCGGCGTGAAGTTGGCAGCCGGGCGGACCAGCGGTTGGCGGCCAAACAAACACTAAAACGGCATTTAATGAAGTTCTAAAGACATATCTTATTATTTAAAGAATACATAAAAAGAAAGATATCACTTTGAGATTTCTTTTTTATTTTATCACTTTTTGTGAAGTCAGCGGCCAGCGGCCAGTGGCCAAAAAAATTAATGTTGCAGAAATGTTATTCAAACAATAAAACGGCATTTAATGAAGTTCTAAAGACATTTATTATTATTTAAAGGATATATAAAAAGAACAAAATCACTTTGAGAATTATTTTCATTTTATCATTTTTTGTGAGGTCAGCGGCCAGCGGCCAGTGGCCAAAAAAATTAATGTTGCAGAAATGTTATTCAAACAATAAAACGGCATTTAATGAAGTTCTAAAGACATTTCTTATTATTAAAAGGAATAAAAATCACTTTGAGATTTTTTTTTATTTTATCATTTTTTGTGAAGTCAGCGGTCAGCGGCCAAAAATTTTAATGTTGCAGAAATGTTATTCAAACAATAAAACGGCATTAAATGAAGTTCTAAAGACAATTCTTATTATTAAAAGGATATACATATAAAAAGAAAAAATCACTTTGAGATTTTTTTTATTTTATCATTTTTTTGTGACGTTGGCGGCCAGCGGCCCAGAATTTCAATGTTGTAAAAGTTTGGAAAAAAATTGAATAACGACTCTTAATCAACTTTTAAAGACATAACTTTTCATTTAACAGTTTTTTTTCTCTAGCGACCTGGCAGCCGGAAATCGAAATGTTATAAATATGATAAAAACGGGACTTTATGAAGTCCTTAAGACCATTCCTGATATTTGAAAGGTATATAAAAAGAAGAAAAAACACTTTCAAAGAACTTTTTTATTTATCGTTTTTGTGAAGTTGGAAGAAATGATATATAAAGAAATGGTATTTAATAAAGCTCTTATCATTTAAAAGATATATACTTTGAGAGATCTTTTATCATTTTTATAAAGGTAGCGGCCTAAATTGAATTTTTGTCATATATATGGTACACCTGGGATTCAGGCGTTGATATATTTTGCTTATACATAATATACACGTTATTTCATACTTATTCATGTTTTTGATACTATCGACATGCCGAACAGAAGCACATAAAACGCGTTATTTTAGACTTGTTCGTGTTCTTGATAATATCGATTTGCCGAACAGAAGCACATAAAAATTTGATAGATTGGAACGCAGGCTAATATATGGTGTACAATTTCTGTAACAAATCTGAATCGTCTTTAATGAAGTTTTAAAACATTTTTTACGGGTCCCATCCAATTTATACTCCCCGACCAAACCATGAGTATAGGTCAGGTAATCATCCTTTATTAAAGCTGGGCTCCCACTGCCGATCAGATCAACTCGATCAAGCCCGATCAAGCGATCGGGTACTGGTCTGGGTCGGTCGGCATGATTGATCGGGAGTGGTCGGGGAGGTCTACCTTGGTCGGCATCGCTCGGGCTTTCTACCCGATTTTTTTGACATGTCAAAAAAAATTCGTGTAGCGATCGTGTAGCCAAGCGGTCGAGAAGAGCTCGGGAAGCGATCGTGTATTGATCGAGTTGAAGATCGAGTTGATCGAGAAACAATCGTGTAGCGATCTTGTTTGGTCGGATTGGCATTTTTAACCCGATCTGTACCCGATCATCTCGACTTCTACTAGAGTAATATACGATCGCATCCCGATTAAGTAGATCTCTGTTCGATCTCTTGTCCAGATTATCTAGACTGCTACCCGACTACTCCACGACCACACACGACCGCACACGATCAAACCCCGATCACTGTTCGACCATATATTATTATTCTCCTTATTACTACAACATCTACAATATATATTTATATAAGTACTAAAAGTGAGCGTTGCCCCGGCAGGTCCGACTAGTGGCGATTTTAGTCACCCACCTCTGTTTCAAGTGAGGCAGTTGCCGGCTACTGGCAAGGAGTTGGCGTGATATGATTGAAATACTTTGAAAAAGGGCATAAAATCAAGAAACAAACAATCAACTCTATTGTATATACATGTATACTTGAAGCTAATTTCCTCCAATAACAAACATATCATGGAAACTATCATATCCAAATAGAAGATGACTTACTTTACTTAAACATATCGGAAATCACTTTAATTACTACTTAACTTGTGCATAATCGCATCATATAGGTTATACAAGCCAAGCGTCATTAAAATATCTCTCCAAAGTAACTAACACACTAAATCATATTCTGTTGCCACTCAACTGAACCAGCTCGGGAGTTGAAGTAGTGTTTAAGGTAGTTCCTCCGACTGACCCCAGCGGATGTCACCACATTTCTTCCATGGGTCCGATCACCATCAGCCAACTGTCTTCCTTGGCGCCATTCACCAGGTACTAAATGGTTATGCTCGTCCTCTTGGTCGACGGCCAGTCTTGCAATGGCAGGGTACCGTATGCTGATAAGGTTATGCAGTGTGACACATGCAAGGATAATCAAGTCAACGGTTTCGGGCATCTGGTTCAAGCAGCCAAGTAGGCACTGAAACCGCATAGCGAGAAGACCGAAGGCATTTTCTACCACTCGTCTAGCCCTGGACAACCTAAAATGAAAGGATGGTGATGGTTTATAAGAACAAATTTCTGATTAAATGCATAGCTATTTTTCCAATAGTAATTCAAAAGATTGTCTAACCTGTAATTGAATATGCGCTCCTCGTTGGTCAAGTTGCGTCTGGAGTATGGCTTCATCATCCAAGTTCTCAACGGGAAAGCGTCATCTCCAATGAGGAAGTATGGGGTGTTCATGTCATCGCCAGGCAGTGGATCAGGGTCCGGCAAACCAAGGTTGTTTTCTTCTAGCATGGTTCTGAGTTCAGTGTTATTGAATAGCTGGGCATCGGATGCACTGCCATTAGCACCAACGCTTACCCAGATGAATTTGTAGTTTGCGTCTACGAGTGCGAGTAGTATTATGGAAAAGAAGCCTTTATAGTTATAGAACAGAGACCCAGAGTTCTTCGGGTTCTTTATCCTCACGTGCTTACCATCAAGAGCCCCGCAGACATGAGGAAAATTCCACTTGGTTCGGAAATCATCTGGAATCCTCACGTGCTTACCATCAAGAGCCCCGCAGACATGAGGAAAATTCCACTTGGTTCGGAAATCATCTGCAATCTGCTGCCATTGTTTAGCAGTGACGACGTCTGGCAGCACCTCTTCAGAGTACTCCTGTATTATAGCATCCAAAACTTCAGGGACGAATTTACTTATTGTGTTACTTCCCACTCGGAATGAGTACATCAAGTCTGAATACGAGGCTCCAGTTGCGAGATGACGAAGAGTGACCGCCAACTTCAATCCAGGCTCCAGGGCTTCCCTGAAATAGAGATTGAACAATGATAAGTAATAACTAGCCTACTATGATACAAAGGTATTAAAATTTCTTAAATATTAGTGACAATTGCACAGAGCTGTAGAAGTCAAATGGTTGGAAAAGTAATTCGATGACTAATTATTTCAGAAATACGTGAAAATGATGGGGATCGAACCCATGATTTACCTGAAGTTGGTGTTCTTTTTCTGAATTCTGGGTGATATGCGATCAACAAGCTCCCCAAACATATCAGCGTCTACCCTTAGGAAATTTTTGTATCCTTTTGGGTCCTCCCTGTTTAGCTCCTGTAGCAGTTGCTCATAATGCCCATACAGTGGTCGTCGTGCAAGCCACTGCTTCATCCATATTTTCCTGCGCATTTGTCACCTACGTCTATGCCTACGACCCTCAGCCTCTTCCTCTTGTTCCAACTCTAGCACAGCAATGGCCCTGTCTCTCTGGAGCCCTAACCATCTGGCCCACAACTGCAACTGCTCAATCTCCATAAATATTTATACTATGCTGGACACAACATATACTATAAAGTTTCAAGATGAAGTGATAATGATCAACACTGTTTGAAGTTTTTATTCTAAAAGTTTTGGTACACGACTGTTCACGACCTTCTACGACTCGAGTACGACCATGACGATCTGGTCGGGGAAAGATCTGACACCGATCGAGCAGAGATCCAGTAGGTCGAGTAGGGATCGTGTAAAGGTCGGGATGATCGAGCGGAAATCGGAAAGGTGGTCGGGTTGACGTCGTGAAGGAGTCGTGAATAATCGTGTGGGAATCGTGTGTGATCGACAAGAGGTCGAGAAGAAGTCGTGTATACGCCTTTAGTCGAGCTTGGTCGGGCCTGATCGGGGAATTTGGGTGATCGGGATGATCGAGTTGATCTGATCGGCAGTGGGAACCCAGCTTACCAACTTTACAAAATAACTTTTGCTTACACATTTATTAACAATAACTCATGATTATAGCATGCGGTAATGGTCGTACCCTAAATGATTATCTCCTTGTTATTGGATGAAACTGAAAGGTTGGAAAATGGATAAATGGTTGGGATTCCGATTGCACAAGTGTAAATTAGTCGTTATTCGGGTGAAATATCGTTATCAGGTTGTATTGAATGTTTCCATGTTGTCATTTTAACGCTATTATTTGTTTAAGTTCAATACGTGATCTGGAAGTTTTTAAACATTGATTTGTATTAACATTTGTATATGTTGTATTTTGCTAGTAAATGTATATAGTTGTTTAATTTATTATCATGAAACACATGATTGCCAATATATCGTTCTTGCTATTGATGTATTTAAACACTTCATTCCTATGGTGTTGTATATACGGTCATTCCCAGAATAAATGTACAGTATCTTTTCTTTCTTATTAAAATTATCAAGGTTTTGCTTCCATTTCCGATCTGCATCGCATAATAGGTATACTTCAACATCCCATGAATTATGGTAAAAAGTACATTTTTGTTACAATGGTACCAATATTAAGAATAGAATCTAATTTTATATCCGTCCTTTTTTTCTAACATCTTTTAAAAATAAGAAAATAACTTGCAGATGAAATAAATATCTTTATAACCATAAAATTATGTTATAATAATTGTTATGCATGCATATTTATAATAAATTAAAGTACATGTATTAGTATGGCGAGTGGTTAGCGCGTCGAACTAGTCAACCTTGCGTGATTTCCTTATACAGCCTAGTGTCCTCTCTATTTGGTAGGGAAATATATTGGCTGGTACTTTTACGTTGGTAGGAGAATTGGTGACATGGGCCAAGGTAATGAGAATATTAAAATAAATTTTAACACTTTTGCTTAATAAGCCTTTTAAGCTCGAATTGACCTTGACTCATGTATGACCTGACATTGAAACCAAGTTTTTTTTAAATTTCACTGATTATTGCTATAATTGGCTGTAACTTTGTTATTAATCAATGGATAATTTTCATACTTGGACAAAACAATCTCTTGGACACGACATTTAAAGGTTGCACTGACCTTGATCTTGAGCGTTAAGTGATCTTGACCGTCAAAGTCAAATTTTCGAATTTTGGTTGTCACAATATTGATATTTAAATACGTAACTATTTGATTCATATGTGGACAAAACAGCCCTTGTGACCAAACACATATGACCTTCGCCTTTGGACAAAAATAACAAGTGTGATTAAACGAACCTATTAAAATTACTTCACAAAAATGAAAAAAATCAAAAAAAAAATCTCAAAGTGTTTTTTTTCTTTTCAGTTATCCTTTTTTAAATATTAAGAAATGTCCTTAGAACTTCATTAAATGCTGTTTTATTGTTTGAATAACATTCCTGCAACATTAGAAGTTTTGGCCGCTGGCCGCTGACAATGATGAAATAAAAAAAATTGTCAAAGTGATTTTTTTCTTTTTATATATCCATTAAATAATAAGAAATGCCACTGAAACTTCATTAAATGCCGTTTTATGTTTTAAATAACATTTCTGCAACATTAAAATTTTGGCCGCTGGACCGCCCGGCCGCCAACTTCATTTTTGTGGACATTTATTAAACAATTATGTCATCCGTTTAAAACAATATTCTCTTTTGTGAAACTGGGTTCGGGACGGACGGATTTTGTTTGTTTGTGATATTGACGCAAAAAAAAAACCGGACGGATTCTACGTCAAAATTAAGCTTGTCATGTGTCCTGATTTTTTATTCCTTCAAATAGAATGTTCTACGTGAAACATCAAAAGAATAGAGAAGTCTAGAATGTTCTACGTGAAACATCAAAAAATAGAGAAGTCTAGAATGTTCTACGTGAAACATCAAAAGAATAGAGAAGTCTGCCTTATCGCCCAACATGTCATAAACTTTCTTTGAAATTTTCTTTGTTAGAAACCTGATCACTTTATGCTGTGAAAATTTTGCGTTTGCCTAATGATTAAATTTTAAAGAGACAATTATGTGCTAAGCTTGTAATGTTTCATTGATTTTATAAATGGAACAAATAGTTGTGCAAATAAACATAGAACTTCAGTAAATGCCGTTTTATTTTGTTTGAATAACATTTCTGCAAAATTAAATTTTTTGGCCGCTGGCGAAAAATGATAAAATAAAAAATTCTCAAAATGATTTTTTTCTTTTTATATATCCTTTAAATAATAAGAAATGTCTTTAGAACTTCATTAAATGCCGTTTTATTGTTTAAATAACATTTCTGTAACATTAACATTTGGCCGCCAACTTCACGCCGCTAGGCCGCTGGGCCGCCAACTTCACACATATTGTAAAATGCCTGGTTTTATCTCGCGAGAGATATTATAAAACATTTTAAATATTTGTGAACTTTATATTTATATGGTAAGATGATGCAATGTATAATGATATAAACGAAAGTACTTCTCATAGTTGATGATAATATTTGTTATTGTTTTATACAAGCAAGCAAAGTGGCGCATTTAAAGCGTGCTTGTCTGATAACCCAGAGGTCCGAGGACTGAAACCTAGCTCTGCTAAAGTTTTTGAGTATATCACATTATACTATTTGGAATATAAGGTTCAAAGAAAATTGTTCTTTTATACCTTTCAACTATCAATATAGGACTTATAAATAACAAATTTTAGTAAATAGGATTAAATGCCCATTAGGGGTCTGCTCCAAATAATTGTTTACATTTCTTTTTTTTTTAATCAATCAATTTAAAATTTCAAACAGATAAATTAATTTTAATTGTTAAACGTTGCAAAGCAAACAAATACACAAACCCAACGTTTTCGTGGGAGAGATTGTGGGACAGCTTTTTAAAGCTACATGCCTCTAGATGAGCCAAAATATTTCAAGAAAATCAAACTTCAGAAAAATGAACTAAATTTTTCAGAAAAGTAATAAAAAGAATAAAGATGCAAGTAATAATTTACATGTTATATGTGCGATGTATGACTAATTTTGCAATATATATCATCATATTTCTTTTGCGTGACAAACGCAATAAGGGCTACTTTTTGCATTTTTACCCTTTTTTGGGGGTAATTTTACATAGATTATAAAAGCCGTTTGCAATGTGTAAAGTACTTTCTTCGTTCATTCGCAATATTTTATAAAATATGATAAACAAGATCAACAAGGAAAGGCGGCGTTCAATGAACGCAACCCCCACATGACCCAGCAACAAGAACCAATGGCAAGGAGCCCAGGGGGACCCTAAACAAAAACAGGACAGGGCAAAGACAGAGCACGGACAGGTTAATCATTAAATGATAATTAAATTTATAATACATTTTAAAAATGTTCATAAAATGGCATAAATCTAGAGGCAGGCTTTAAAGAAAAAGCCAACATACCAGTTAAACTTTCCCGGATATTTACAGGTGGTACTAGTAAACAATGTGGTATAGACCTTTTTACACTTCAATATTTCCATAGAAAGGATGTAGCATTTCGCGCACGGGTAGTCTGCGTAGGGCAAAAAATAGATCATATCAGTATTCAACATCTTCAGTAATCAACATATTCATTAAACTACTTCCGGAATAAGTTTGCAAATCCGGGATTTTCGCAAACTCAGCTACCCTTTCTTAAGTAATTAGAGAATAAATGAAGAGTTCATTTAACAATGGGTATAAAGTTAAACAAAAACTGGTCTTTAAATTTCATATACCCCTAACAATGAGTGCTGGGGAGACAATCAAAGTTGAGTCCCCCATGGGGTTTTATCATTCTCCCACTGGAGGTTTACTATCCCATATGGGATTTTTACCCCCATTCTACAAAAATGGGAGATAAAAATAATGGGAGATTTAGAAAAAATTAAGAATTAACTTTTATGCAAGAAAACTATTATTGTAGTCTTCAAATACTTCATCCGTGATGACCAATGTTCGAACTCATCCAAGTAATCACAAAGACAAGCATCCTGACAAAGTTAGATAATGACTGAGGCAAAATTTTGACCGCTAAAGTGTTAGGAACAAATGTGGACGGACGACGGACATTAAACGACCATAAAAGCTCATCCTGAGCAAGCGCAGGTGAGCTAAAAAGTTTCAGACTAATTTTTCAGGATATTTGGTTTATACAGAATTTATTTAGTTCGATTGTGTAGAAAGCTATTAGGTTATAAACAGTCTTTCGAATCCGTTCCTGGAACCAATCAGTACAGAGCAATGAGTGAAAAGTTTTTTGCTTAAAAAAAAAACAACGGCTTGCCCCTGTCAGGGTTTGAACCCATTCAGGATATTTGAATCTAAACAGTAGCCAGTCGCGTATTAACAATATTTTTTTTTCTATTTTAAGCTCCGTTGACCTTGTTTTTCATCCGAGTCGACCCATGTTCGAACTTATTTGAGCAATTATCTAGACATCTGTCAAAGTTTGATGATTGAGTCAAAAATTTGACCACTAGTGTTCACAAGATTTTTCTATTTTTAGCTCTTGTGACTAAGTTTTTCATTGCAGATGACCCATATTTAAACGCATTCAAAAAAATACCTTAACAAAAATCTTGACAAAGTTTTATGATGAGTGTGTCAAAATGTGACCACTATAGTGTTTACAAGATTTTTTCTATTTTTAGCCCCTGTTACCTAGTTTTTCATCCGAGATAACCCATGTTCTAAGTCATTAAGACCATTATTTTGAAAGTATCCTGACAAAGTTTAATGATGATCGAGTCAAAAACTATGCCCACTAGTGTGTTCACAAGATTTTTTTCTCTTCTTAGCTTCTGTGAGCTAGTTTTTCATTCGAGATGACCCATGTTCAAACTCATCCATGATTTACTTAGACAAGCATCCAGACATTGTTCGATGAGGATTTTGGACGGACGACGGACATTCCTAATAGCTCACCCTGAGCTAGCTTAGTTGAGCTATTAGGAAATAAGCTATTGCCTTAAACCTTTGAACACTTACAATTTCATTAAATTTTGTTTAAATAAGCAATATGGTACAAATTTAAGGATATCAAATTTAAATATACATTAAGAATAAGAACACCTATTATCGAGTGGATAAGATATCTGACCTGCCCATAAAGTTAATTGTATTGGCACATCCGATCGATTCACAGGAGAGCAGGAAGTTCTTTGGTTGCAACATTTTGCATCAATTATTTATGTTGCAAATACCTAAGAGTCACAACTAAAAGCCCATTTACTTTAAAACCATATGATATTTCTTGTGAAATTTCATCTAAGAACACAAAAGCAGATAAGTTCTTTGAAGCGAAATTTTTTTCCTGAAAGATTTACCATCTTATAAAATGCAGTGTAAATATTTTGCAAGGTGTCTTGAAGTTTCAGATTTCTGAAGCAAATGTAACAAAGCAGTCATGGATATTGCTTGTGTTTGGATATTTGTATGCATGCTTTGCTACAAAATATTTCCAGTGATCGCTGGTTTAAATACTGAATTGGTGATTTTTCGAGTGAATCGTAAGCATAAAGACACGCGAAGATGTGCAATGGAATCCTTACATGTAAGTGCTTTTTCCAGAATTTCTATAAACTTGATTTTGTATCTTTCTTGTGTTTAAAATAGGGATAAAAAGAATGCCTAAAGAACGTCCAAAACAACAGAATTGAAAAGGTTACAGGCTCGGTTCGATTGAGCCAGTTCAAGGACGGTACTAAGCCAAAAAACAACGACATTCCTGACAACTATCGTCGAATTCGATTCAACTTGTCATTGCCAAAGTAGAAAAACTTTTTTAAGCTTCAACTCTTCAGTTTCTTTTAAAAAAATAAGATAAAAACGATAAGGCTTTTGGAACTAAAATGTAAACATCATTGAATTCATCAGTTTATAGATATTGACCGAAGCAAAATGAAAGTGGTACAATTTTCATTTCTTAAAGAAAAGCGTCTGATCCCGTAACAACGTAATTTGAACATTTATTCTAAGGATTTTACATTTTTATTTCAACACTGTTTCTGTAGGTTCAAGAAACAGGGAAAATATAGTTCGAGTAGGAAACTTAAACGGAAATCTTTGTGGTTAAATCAGGGGTTCATCAAGACTCTAAATGGACCTTCTTCAACACGTATTTAAGTTAATCTTTTTATTGGGGAACTCCCTAACAATCGCAGTTTTAAAATTTTTTTTAAAGCTTTTGTTTTCCCCTTGAAAAGGGTTCCCTGTAAAAAAAAAAAAACTTTTTTCCCACCCAGTAACACAAATTTTTTTAAGCAGTATAATGATTAAAACTTTTATAGGGAGTACCCAAATTTTTGTTTTTAGAAACTCCCGATTTTTTTATCAACAAACAAAAAACACACGTACATTTTTTCCCGGGGCTTTTTTTAATTAAAATTTTAAAATTTAATCAAATTTTTTTGACAGCAATTAAAAAAAATTTTTCAGCTTTTTCCCCTCTTTAAAAGTCATAGATAATAACAAAAACCCCATTTTCAGTTAATATTTTTTTGGTTTTTTTTCATTTTTGGCTAAGAGCTAAGTTTAAATTTGGGAAAATTTTTGACTTTTTGAGTTTTACGTCCATCCAACACAGAAGACAATGTTCAAGCTTTACTGGTGGAGGTAGACATCAGGTGACCCTATGTGCATAATTTGAGGCCCATAACGTGCAGCTGAGTAGAGCCACCGGCTTTCCATACGCTAGCAGGATAGTTTTCTCACATGAAATAATCAAAGTCGCTGGTGGGACTCGAACCTACCTACAGTGGTGAAAGGCAAATGGTTTGATGTCAACAGCCACAGCAAAAGATGTCTTTATTTCGTCGACCAAATTGGCAAGTGTATGGCGCGCAGCAAATCTTCCTCCACCAAGACCCCTCTACAATCAAAACAGCTTAAAATGTTTTATTCATATCAATGTTATTTTAGTTGTACAAGGATCTGGTGGGGGTACTTGTCACAGACCTGACTTTGGGTCGTACAACTGTGTATCAAACTTTGTATGTTGCATCAACAGATTTTCTTTTGTAACTTCATGGATCTACTTAAATTGGGAAATAAATAAACTTTATATGGTCGTTTTTTCATTAAATGACCGAACATCACGTGATCTATAATGTTTTCTTTGAACATCTTTTAACGGCCAATAGAGCTGAAGTAAGTGCATGAGCAAAGATGATATTGTCAATTTTATTGCGTGACGACATATATTTTAAGCCTTGCTATTATTTGCATTTTTTTCAATCATGAACAACACACGATCATAGGAATAAAATCCATGCAAATATGCATATAATTGTAAAAAGAGATCATTTTTTTAATTACAGCACACGTTTGGTCGTAAAGATGATCTGACCGGAGATTGCAAAAAACTAACACAAGCGATAAATCAAACTCAAACAGTAGGAGCTGGGCACATAGAACAAGTTTACATTAAGAAGGACTTTAATACAGTGGTAATTTAATGTTAGACTTATGTTAAATTGAATGCGAGTAAATACTCAAAACAATACAATATAAGTAATGCTATCTGAGATTGCTTGTACTGTAATATTCATTTTTTTCACACCTTATAAAAACCCAATGCAATTTCAGGATTTGAACCTCGTGATGATTAATGGATCAAATCAAAATTTACCCCTTTTTTTTTTCCCGTTTTTTCAGAATCCTTTTAAGTCTTTTATCGAACCCAAATATACTTTCCCAAAGGGGCTTTGTTTTGTTTTTAAAGATTTTAAAAAGGGTTTCTTCCAAATCCTCATCGCACATCCAATTTAGGATATTTTTCATTTCATAGTCTAGGATATCTTAATCAAATGCATACCAGACTTCATCTGGCCTGTTTTTAATTTTTGAGAGTCGAAAAATCCTTATTGAAACTGCTGTCAAAATGTTCAAAATTGTGGTGTAAAATAAAGAGATCATTAAACATGGTTGGAAACAAAGTACTTATTCTATTGGATACGTATACAGCTGCGAAACCTATATCAGACAGTTTTGACAGCTGTGTTCTTGTCCAATAGAATGCATAATAACCTCATATTACAAGAGTTTGGTTAAGTTTATTATCTCTGCTTTAAACGAAATACTGTTGTAAGTGTTAATTTATGACAGGAATGTATCCATGATACTATTTCATCTTTTGAAAATGGAGATCATATTTATATACAATATTCTTTGTATTGTCATTTTCTGCCTGAACCAGCATTGTGTGAATGTATTGTAATAAAAAACCTATCGAAGGGCAAGAGAGACTAACTTGAGCTTAACTGCAATTTTACTTCAAATTGTCTAGATGAACGTTGGAGGAAATAAAAATTCTGGAGTTGAGAGAACCCACATTGAACTTCAAACACCTTTAATGCCAGGATCTAGATTAGATTTCCATTGCAGTCGTAAACCTGCTAAGATATAGTAAGAATGATAATTATTCATTTCTTGATGAAATTTAAACTTCTCCAGAACTTGCTTACCTTTATGGGAAAAAACAACAACAACAAAACAAGAACAACAACAACAACAACACAAAAACAACCACACGCACACACACACACAGCACAAACACACACGAACGCACACGAGCACGCACGCACGCCCACACGCCCACGCACACGCCCAGACAAACGCACGCACGCACAACAGCTTCACCTGCTGGCTTTAAAAACTATAAATATCTTAAATTGTATCAACTCAGCTTGTTTTACTGAGTATAACACATAATTAAATGGAATATCAAGATAGAATACACCATAGTTCTTGCTCTGTACTTCAAATCAATAATGTTCCTTCGGAGTTGAAGATTTAATAATATTGCACTTTCAATGATCTCTCACTGACATTTCAAGACACATAACATACACGATGCAGGTACATTGTATTTGTTTTAGAAAAAACTGTTTTGGACTTTTACCTTGTCACATTACTACATGCATTTGACAATCGCAATTTTTAATAGAAACCGAGAGTACAAAATGCCATCATGTTGACAGTTAGTCCGATTTGTTTAAAATTGTACATCTGTGTTGTTCTTTAAATCAAAAATGGTTGCCAAACATATTTTCAATCATAATTGTACCGAAACAAAATTTATTTTCCGTTTTACATTATCGAAGTTACATTCTCTGTTTCTGTTTGTGGTAGCACTACTTTCAATCCGTATTCTTTCTGAGGTTATTATGTATAATAGCCGAGGATGTTCCGATTGATGCATTTGGATTGGCATACTGTCACTTTTTCATTAATTATTAGACTTAAAGATATATTATGCTTAAATTTGATATTAAGAATATTGTTAATTGCTACACAATATTTACTACAAATAATGTATAAAATAATTGCTAATACAAATATAAAGTAAACACGTTTTGACTTCATACAAAGTAGATATGTTATGTTTAAATTTTTACAAACTATAGGTGGCCACTTTATGAATATACAGAGACATTAAAAAACTGGCATTTTTTAAAAAAAGACCAACTTTACTTGAGCTGTTTTAGGGAATGCAGCTTCCAATGCATAGTTTTTTATTCAAATTAGACATATACAGTAGAAATTTCATAGATGTCAATAAATTTCTGTGATAAGAATAGTTTACTGAAAGATGAGCAAAGTATATCTTTAAAACTTTACTTAAGGTGATAAATGAGTTTATTAGACTTCAATGAGATTACCAATTTTATATCAAATATGTTTTTTGTCTAGTATGTTTCAGTTGAACAGAGGTCTGCCTGAAAAAGGCTTTAAAGACGAAGTGCGAATCGATATAATGTATGTATTTTTCTACTTTAATTTCGTTCAATGACTGCAGACTTCAACGATTTAGATTAAAAACTTCCTATTTATAATTATATTAACCCCTAAACCTGCTTTAACGGGCATTGGTTAGCATTTTCTTTTTGTTTCATGTTTTAAAGTCATTCCCAGTATTAAGTACTTAAAATACAGATGGCTGCTACTCATATGAGGTTATTAATTATGTGTTTTGATGTATAGTTAAAATTTCTTTCGGATAAATGTTATTTTTATCTAAACATATGTAGCTTCTACAGACAGTGTTTTTTTGTTATCCTAGACCTTTACTTTATTAAATAATGGTGTGGCAAATAAGGCTTTCATTTTCGGTAGATAGTACCACCAGGATATAGAGCAATGCCAACCTCAACATTGTTGCAGTCTGACCAGACTCTATGCTCATGGTGGCTGCTGTGTTTGGATACTTACCTCTTGCTCTTTGGCTTTTTAGAAGAATAATTTTTTTCCCTATATACATTATTATAAGAAAAATAAATGACCCCTGGGACAGGGCCTATTTTACCACAAAGAATTTTATTTGAACAAACTTGGTGGACACCCACTAGAAGATGTTTAACACTAAATATCTAAATTCTAGCTCTTTGGCTCCTTTAGAGGAAGTTTTGGTTTTGTTTTCACTAATATAAACATACAAGGAAAACAATGACCCCTTTGGGCGGAACCAAGTTTTACCCCAGGGTTTTTATTTGGACAAACTTGGTAGGCAACTCCCAGAAAATGTTTCATGCTTAATGTGTAAGCTCTAGCTCTTTGTGTCTGTTTAAAGAAGAGTTTTAAGCCACCATCGTTTTGTATGTAATTCAATTCTTTGAACAATTTTCAAAGGGCATTCCTGTAAAGTTTGGATGAAATTGGCCAAGCGGTTTATGAGGAGATGTCGTTAAAAGTTAAAGTTTACGGACGAAAGACGGACGGACTGCCCATGCCAAGTTTTTTAAAAGCATTAAAAGCATACTGAATCTTGATGATTTATTTTATTTGTGCTGTTTATTTTACGAACTTCGATGAATTCATTCCGAATGCTTAACGTTTTCAGTGTAAATGAAGTGGAACGATCAGACTCAACTCTTGTGATTTTTCAATCTGACAGCAAACACAACACTTCTCGATATTCCTTTCCTTTCGACTGGAACAACCTATGTCCATTAGATGAATGCAAGATTTCAGTCCATATCCTTGACGGACAAATAGAGGTAAATCATTTTAAACTAAAAATGTCAAATTTTATTGAAATTGAAACCTTTCATGTTTTTTTTTTACAATTTAAAGAGTATTAAACATTCATGTATAGATACAATTATAGATTTTTTAAAACTTAAAAATGAAATTATAAGTACACTGGTAAAAGTTAAATTTGCGATGATTGTGTTCTATTTAATATCTTATTATACGAAAATAATTAACAATCCATGTGGCTCACACATGGAAATTTCAGCAGCTATCGGTACATTGTATTATTTAATTTTAAATTGAGTGGGGCAGATTTTTTATTATATAGGTAGTTTTGATATGCCTATTAAAACATTTTTCGATATCAATTGGTCAATCACCATAATCTTTTGAATTATATTACTAATTCAACTAAACATTATAGCGAAAAAGAAAATGAGATTAATGCCATTTAATATGCAGATTCTTGCAAACGGTCAGAAGATGCAAGGAAACATTATAGAGGTACCCACAACTCTGATTAAAAAGATGAAAAGGGTTTCAGTTTTAATGGCTGTCCATGGTGGCGTAGGTTTTCAAAGACTCGACCGCTTTGAGTTTACAAAACAGGGACTGCTTACTTTATCATAAAGAAACAGCTGGAAGGGGTAATTGTTGAAATAATTTTTTATTTTGATGTAGAAAATAATAACTATTCATTATGATGGAATAATAAATTTGTATATTTTACGAATAGCGCTTGCATTGTCAACAATGACTTGTTTGAAGAAACGCATTGAAAGTAATACTTTTTTGTAGACTGAACAACTTTAAAAATCCACTGGTTTGATCTCTATCAAACCAACTTATCAAAATCAAGTTATCGTTTTTTGATGATTTAAACATTGAATATTATAAAGTATTTTCACCAAACTTTGGACATGTTTCCTTCTATAATCATGACCATAAACATCATCTGTAGAGTAGAAATTTCGTTCATAATTATATCAATATTCACATATTCTGTAAAAATCACAAAGCACTGAGTAAACAAAAAAATCGAAATCATGTGTGTGACTTATTTGCTGAAATACCTCTGTAAACACAGTCCAATTTAATCAAAGTGATGCTTTGGAATATTTGTAGTATTTTACATCGAATCGAAATTATATAAAAAATATTCATTTTGTCCTAAGTCTTGGCAGAGCATATGTCATAACAAGTGAGCGATCTTATTATATTTAATTAAATTTGTGCTGCGTTAGTACGATAGGCAGTGACATTGTCTTGTCGAAGTAAACATATGCGGGTTTTCGTTTTCAAATCTAGTTGTTTTGTTTTCGAAGAACTTTTGTCTTGTAAAATTAACAAATCTGCAAATTCGTTTTCAAGATCGGTTTCCTGAATGGTGGGACCCGAGTAAGGCCGACGGGCATTGAGAAGATCATCATACATAATTCACCCACATTGAACTTTTTAAATCAACGAATAACTGATGAAAAAGACATTTCATTTTGTCCTATTACAGAACAGATTTTTCAAAAATGTTTTTACACCATATGCAACTATTCTTAATATAAGACCGCATTTCAGTGACATACTCTAATATTTTACAATGCATTTTGTGTATTCAAGTAGATGAGTGCACAAAGTACAGCAAGCTTTTAACACAGACAAACTGATTATGTGTAATCAAAGTAAAGTTTACATGTATATCTACCCGATAATCCTCATTTCCTCATGTTTTTCTCAAAATCGAGCAATACAACGTTCTAGATGCATTCATATTTGAACACTTCTCGTATATTTAAATGCAATTCTACTGTTAATGTCTTCGAAATTGATTATTATAAGTGCCTAATTTAACGAAAATATTTTATCATATTCAATGCTAAAGTCAGTATGAAATGACTGGTGTTGTAACTCACTCTTTATTTGCGATACTCTGTAATCCGGCATTCGATACTCAAAATCGTAGAAAGATGGTGATTTTGAGATGTTCAGTGTACAAGAATTTAACATCGACCTTGTTTAATTTCTTTAACTGTTTATTATTTTCTTATTATGGAACTATATTTATCTTGATCGCTTGCTTTAAAATGATATGAGTGATTGATGCCAACTTCTAGTATATTTTCTCCAGTTATATTGTAATATGTATTAACCCTTTTGTATTTTTGGCATTCAGTGTTTTTGAAAGTTTTTTTTTTTTGGTAGATGTTAATATTTTTACAAACCTTTAGATGAAATACGACCTTAATAGACAAGGTCATTTAGAGGGCAATGTAATATCAAATGCGGGAAGTATTACAATATTGTATTAAGATGTCATTTTGTCGAAACATAAATAAGAAAATGTATCTATATGTGAATATATGTGTGTGTATGTATATAAACATGTAAAAAAAACATGTAAAGAAAATTCTTGATATTAAAGTCAACAATTGTAAATGC